AAAATGTAAATAATAAAATTATCTTTAAAGTTTCTTTTTAGTAATAATCTCTTTCTCTAGAGAATGAATGTGCTAATATTTACTCAAAGCATTGTAAATAAATTTAAAAGAGAAATATTAACTCCATTAACAAACAAATATATCAACCTAATGTATGAGACTTCATACTTACTTTGATCACCTTCCTCCCTTTTGTCTTGTTTTCTTTCCAGGCCCTGATTACATCAAACAGAGATTTCAAGAAGGTGTAGATGCTAAGGAAAATCCTGAAGAAAAGGTACAGGAAAAACCGCCTACTCCAAAGGAATCTCCTCATTTTTATCGCAAAGGCACAACCCCCCCTGCGTCTCCTGAGGCAAGTCCCAAGCACAGCCACTCTCCCAAGCCTTCCTCTCCAAAGGCCCTGAGGAAGCAAAACCCTAGTTCGGGGACAAGACTCAGTCAAGATAAAAGGAGTATGGCTGATGAGCAAGTAACAGCCATTGTCAATAAGCCGTTGATGTCAAAGGTCCCCTCCAAGGAACTAGCACCCCAGTCCAAGTACTCTGGCCGCCACCATGTCCCCAACCCCAGCAATGGGGAGCTACACTCCCAGTATCACGGCTACTATGTGAAACTGAACGCCCCCCAGCACCCTCCAGAAGATGTAGAGGAAGAGGATGGATCAAGCCGGGCTTCCTCAGCACTGGTGCACAAGCCATCGCCTAACAAGTGGAGCTCCCCTAAATCTGTGACAAAACCAGTTGCCAAAGAAAGCAAAGCTGAGCCAAAAGCTAAGAAGTCTGAACTTGCTATACCAAAGAATCCAGCAAGCAATGATTCGTGCCCTTCTTTGGAAAAAGAAGCCAATTCAGTAAGTCTTACAAGAAATGTTTTCTCTTCCCCTTTTCCCTTTGGTTCTTTCAGGGAGCAGCATGGGGTGACAGCATCTCAATGGCAGCCACCTAACAAAGGTCCTAGGAGCACGAGATGGTAAGGGTGTAGAGGGTAACATGTTTGTAGCTTGAGATCACACAGAGCTCTCCAGGCAAGAATTTCTGAGTCTACTCGGCCACCAACCATTGACATAAGCCAAATAGGTTCAACAGCCTTACATAACCTCAGTCTCAGTCAGCCTTTTTCAGGGTTTTTGGTGAGCCCCAGCACAGCTTGCTATCTGACTCAAGGGAAACATGGCTGCTGCCATGACCAGCCTCTCTCTGAGCTCTGGCAAGGGGTTCTGAGCCCTCCTTGAGCTTCACCACAGCCCACCTGCTTCCACCAAGAGTATTTCTTAGCTCTTGTGAATTCTTTTTACAGATCTTTATCTTAGATTTTACTTGATTAGCCAGGCTTTGTAGCCAGACCATTTTTCTTATCCAATGAAAAAATTTGCAGCAATTTAAGAGAATTATTTTGGTCTTCTAATGTCTCTTCCATGCATGTTCTCACATTTTCAGTTTCCTAGGAGACACAAATTATTACCACTAAGACTTGAGTGTGTAAGGTATTTACTTGTGCAGAAAGCTCAGGGTTAATGATAAATGTTTAAATGCTCATTCACATGAAATTTATTTGTTGAATAATGTGAGCCATTAATAGTTCATCAGATTCTTTAAAATATATATAGCCTAACATTACCAATTCTATAGAAATTGACTAACTGATTGTTAGCCTGCTCACGTACCTTGGGGGTTGGACATTAAATGCAACTCAGGAAGAAGCTGCAGTTTAGAGGCTTGATGAAGACTGGCGTAGTCGACAAGATGAGAGCACCACCCTGAGTTTCTTAGTTTTATCTGTTTGGTTTACTCATAGGATTTAATAGGTAAAGTTTATCTCTTCAGTTAACTTATACTTGAAATTTTTGTCTCTTCTGCTAATAGCTATAAAATACCAGTTTTCTTCTTTTTCAGATTCTTTTTAATTAGATAAGTAGAATTGATTGGGTTAGTTGGATTAATTTCCTAAGAGTCAGTCTTTATGGAGTCAAGTAATTTTCAAGATAGACTAACATTGTAAGACTCTGACGTTTGTAAGACATTTAATAAATGTTTAACAATATTCAAATAGTATAACATTTGTTAAACTTAGTAATTTGTTTGTCATTTGACAGTCAGCATTTGTATCCATACTAAGGCCTCACCTACATATCTGTATTAGTTTTGCCTGATTTTCAAATGAGAAATTCTAACACTGCGAGACCTTCCGGTGGCTACCTCAGCATAATCAATCATGGGTTCACCCAGAACTCTGTAAGGCAAGAAGATCCCCAGTGTCTTGCTCATTTGAGTTACCAAGCTCTTACCTGTAAGACTCATTCTGTAAAATAGTATTAGGTTGAATAAATTCACAGCCTCATTATTCAGAGAAAAACTACATATATGCATACTTGTTTTACTTATTGGAGGAATCCTGATTTTTGGAATTAAAAACCAAGCATCCTCCATCTCTGAAGGTCAGCCCCAGGGCCCCTCTTCACAGCAGTGGCAATAGGGGGCCAGTGGTCTGCAGCCCCCCTGAGCTGCAGGCTGTCTGTAGGGGTGACAGTCTGTCTTCTGGGAGCTGATAGCACCTTCCACATTCCTGGCAGATGTTAGGAACTGACAGTATTATCATAAGGAGAGTCAGTGAATGACCTTTAAAATGATGAAGCCTGGTAAGATTGTGAGGTAAAGGGACTTTGTAAATTAGAAGTTTATAAAGAACAGTTTAAAATTCACATAAACATTCACACTAAAGCAGATGTTTGAGGGAAACCTGGGATGAATCAGTGCTCTTCCTTGGTGGGCAGCTGAGATATCTAGTTTGAGTCAGTATCTCCATTTGTAGGGTGTGTGACCAACCAGAATCTGGGATTTTATAGTCAGCCAGCTCTTGTGACTCAGACAGTATTGGCCATTGATGAAGAGCGTAGATTCTGCTGCCTAACTGAGATCAAATCCCAGCTCTGTTGCTTTCCAGCTGTGTGGCTCTGGACAAGTTTCCTAACTGCTTTGTGCTTTGGGTTCCTTATCTGTCCCTATTTCAGGGACATGGAGTTGTTGTAGGGCACAGCAAAAGTGCCCTAACAGTTTTGCCTGGGTTTTGCTCCAGTGCTGTACAAGTTGAAGTATACATGGTTCCTAAGTATTCTAATGGAATCGTTCCATCTTCAGGATTAGCCTGGACATTGATCTCCCAGAAATACAGACAATCTTCTGGGACACAAACTAACACTTGAAGCCAATTGCTTGCCTGAGTATGAGAAGTTGAGGTCACCTAAGGAGCTCCTGTGCCCTGCAGGCAGTGCTTGCCTTACACTCTTGCCTCAGGGGCACACGTTGTACTGAAGTTTTGTACAGCTTTGTACCGTGAAGGCTCTAGCACGAGCCACAGAACCATCTTTAGAGCCTTGTTACTAAGCAAGTTGGATATCAATTCCAGATATTTATATGATCAGTTAATATCCAGATATTAATTGGATATTAACTCCAATTAGGAATTCCACCCATTCTAAAAATCAGCCAAACTTTTCTTTTTCATCCTTACTATGATCAGCTTCCAAGTTTATTTTGAGATACACCTGAACTTTCTTTTGAATTTATGTAAGATTTAGAGCACCCCTGTTCTATCAAGTTTGAACCTCACCGAAAAAGAAAGAAGGACAAACACATTATCATCAGTCTTTGTTATTGTTATTAAATTCAGGTTGCCCTTTGCTTATAGTTTTAGTTAGAAAAGTTTTAGGTTTGACATAAACCCTAATTGAGGAGAAAATTCCTCACCATTTTAAATATGAAAGATCATCTCAGAAGAAACAGATTTCCTGAGCTAAAATTTCTTTCCAAATTTTGATCTCCTCTATTTTATTACTTTATCCACCTAAAAGTTTTATCTCATCTGCAGTTAAACTTTGCTCTGCTGTGTCTCCTTCCATTACACCTGTCCCAGTCAGTCTGGACAAGCAAGACTGAGTGTGTGTGTGTGTGTGTGTGTGTGTGTGTCTGTGTGTGTCTGTGTGTGTCTGTGTGTGTCTGTGTGTGTGTGTGTGTGTGTGTTATTTTTCATTTTGCTATTTTAAGCCACAACTGGCCACCACAGTCATATTTATGGGACTTCACCTTAAAGCTTTTCATGCGGTATCCTGCCTCAGTATCTAAAGAACACAGAGGTCGTGGCTTAATATCTGCCCTTTAAACATAACGTCCCAGATTTTTATTTTTTACCTGATTTCTGGTTGAGCCACTCATGCAGGCTTACTCTTGATCTCACTGAGTCATCTTTAAAAATAACTTCATAAATGGAGCTGTGCTAGTAGGATAAATATATGCGTGTTGGAATATATACAGGGTAAATACATATGTGTGTGTTCAGTAGGGAAAATACATATACATGTATTTTTCATTCTGGATAAAGCACCATGCATTATTCATTGAATCCAGATTATCAGTATGTTGAAACAGAAGCCAAAATATGAAGAAAGACAGTAAGCTAAATTCAACCCAAGACCATATACAAACCCAAAATACTAAAACAAATTGATACAATTTTATGAAATGGGAGTTAAGATTCAGGGCAAACCTTAAGCTTTTTTTCCATGGTATTTGTACGTATAAGCAGTCTCTCTACCACAGAGCTACATTCCCACCCCTCACCTCAAACTTTTAAAGTTGACTTCACCGAAATTACCTTCTGTGATTCCACTTTTGAGTCCACTGTGTGATACTGAACTCTGTCACTTTGGTCTTACAGAGTATACTTTTGTTCATCTTTCATTAAATGCACTGTACCAAAAGAGCAGAGATTGTCCCACATCCCACAGGCTTTGTGTGTGTGTGTGTGTGTGTGTGTGTGTGTGTGTGTGTGTATGGCCAGCTCAGCCCACCTTGCGGGCAGGGCTGGTGTGGCATGTGGTACCAGGGATTGAACCGCGGACCCTGTGCACTTGCCTAAGCTTGCCTTAGCTGGCGCTTTAGACTGCTGAGCTATCTTGCCAGCCAATCCCACAGTCTTAACATTCATGAACGAAACCTAATCAAGTGCTTGCCCCAACAGCACATAAACTAAAATTGGAATGACAGAGTAGATTAGCATGGCCCCTGCACAACAATGATGAACAAACATGTGAGGCATTCCATATTTTTTAAAAAATTAAAAATAGTAGTATAGCATTTTCTTAAAATACCCGTGCTGAGTTTGGT